GTCACCTGCCATGCATGCAAGGAGTGGCTGAACACAGGACACATCCCTGGGGGATGCCCCCGGCCTGGAGGGGTGCAGTTTGGGTGGGCACCAGCTGCTGACCCCCAACGCAGCACATCCTCAGGGAGGAAAGTGGCCTGCAGTGCACTCAGTCGGGGGCCTGGCCGAGCCTCAGTCCCCTCCAGTGCTGGGAACACAGCATTCCCACGGATGCAGTAGCCTGCTGGGACCAGGACCAGCAGTGTCCTTTGGTCAGGGGATGACGACACGTGACCCCTCCTTGTCTAACCCCTTCGTTGCCAGCAGCCCAGCAATGCCCAACCCTGTGCCCCTTGCTGTGCACTGCACCAACATGGGAGGGTCTCCCTGGTGGGATGGGGCTTCTCCCAGCCCAGCACCCCCCTGCCATCCCACTGGCTGCCCAGGTGGGCAGGGGTCAGGCATCACCCCCCAAAAGGGATGTCCTGCCTGAGCACAAGGTCCCCTGAGCCTGGGACCAAGGGGACAGGGTGACCTTGCAGCCCAGTGGGACAGGGACATGCTGCCGGATGGACACACACCACCTTCTCCCCCCCCACCCAAAAAGTACTGCCACATATCACCACATGCTTCCACACCCCAGGACTGTAAAAGGATGCTCCAGCCAGTCCCAGGGTGGTGATTGTGTCCAGAAAACGGGACACCGGGAGGTGGGGGCAGGCTGCTGGCAGCTCACCTCTGCCTGTGTGAAGTTCTTGTCAGCCCCCAGGAGATAAGGGGTGATGAAGCTCTCCCCGGGACGGATCTGCGTCATGAAGCCATAGAAGCAGAGGTAGAAAACTTGTAGTTTCCAGCGCTTGTCCGGCACCATCTCTGATGATGGCTTTTTAGTGTTGTCATCCTTCTTGGGCATGGCTCCACCGGCTCTGCAGCAGGACAGCGGCATTATCCCAGGGACCATCAGCTAGACGGGCTTTGCCGGGCCAGGCAGCCCCTCTCTGGCTGCAGGCACTCTCCGACGCATCGAAAGCCACGTCGTCGCTGCAGTTTCTGGGGAGAAAGCAGCATTTGGCACAGGCGCAAATTCCTCCATAATCGCAAGGCAAATAAATACCACTACCTTCTCCCTAGGAGGTCTTCTTGCAAGAAGAAAAGCAGCCGTGTGTCTCGCTGTGCAAAAGCGGGGGCGGGGGGTACATTTCAGGCAGCATTTGTAGATCCTGTATAAAAGAGTCAGGATGCATGAAGCACCCAGCTCTTCAGTGAGACGTCTGTAGTTCACATCACCTCCTTTTTCTCCCTTTTAGGTCAGTGGGGTTTTACCCTCTCCCTGAAGCAATGCTTCCCTCTGAGCAGTCGCTCCGCTGCAGACTCAGAGGCAGAGGGATGCAGATGTCCTGCAGCAGGGATGCTCTGGAGGGAGGTGGCAGCAGCCACAAGGACCACGCCGGTTGTGAAAGCAAGTTAATGCACACACCGGGCACAGGGCCACCCATGTTATACATTAGCTGGTTGGTGGGACTTTAGCTGAACCACAGGCAAGCAGCTGCCCCTTGGCTCTACCCTGGTGGGACACAATCACCTGGCATCACTCTGCCTGGGAGAATGCAAAATGCCACGAGGTTCACAGTCCGGAAGGGGATTAACAGCTCAGATCCTGAGGTCTGGCTACTGGAAAGCTGGCAATGCTGAGGAGGCCCGATTAGTGGTCACAGGATGAAGGCAGGGAAAGGAGTAGGCCTGGCCCAGGCGTCCTCCCAGTGCTCCCCACTCCCACAAGTCACTGACAGCGCTTTTTGAGCCATAAAAATCCACGTGTGCCAATCCACGCCATGGGAGCAAGGTCTAGAAACCAAATAACCCTCCTAATTGCAGAAAAACTAATCACGATCACTAAAAAGTAAGTGCACAGTCCCAGGCGATGCACCCCCCGCCCCCTCTGCCATCTTGTGCAGCAAGACTGGGGGGCTCACTTCTGAGGAGCCGCCCCCCAAGATAATGCACGTGGCTAACAGGGAAACAAGCCTGCACAGGTGCCAGTAGGGGAAAGCTGGTCGTGATCGAAACCAAAAGCAGCAGCAGGAAGCGGGGTGCCCATTCACCCCAGCAAGGACTCACCGATCCAGCAGCATTCCCACGGGATTTCAGCGCCGGTGCCTGAGCATTGCCAAAACGTGCACGTCCTGGAGCTCACAGGTGGGCAAACAGCCCCTACCTCTTAAATAGGTCCCTGGGGAGTGGGGCAGGGATTCAGTGCTCGCTTACTGATAGCCTGATATCACCCAGAGACAGTGCTGGCTCGGGTGCTGGGTAGAGCACCGCAGCCCCTGCACTGTGCCACAAAGGGCAAGGAGCAAGAAGCGGGGGCTATCACCACGCCCGGCCCAAGCGTGCCCCAGCACTGTGCCATGCCTGCCTGGGGCCCCTGCCTGCCTGCCTGGACTATGCCCCATCTTCCGCTCGTCCGTCCCCGAGCCATGCTGCAGATGTGAGCGACTGTCACCTCCAGCAGCTGCTCTCTGTGAGGCAATCCCCTGCCACAGGCACCAGGAGCCCAACAGGCTCCCAAACCTGTTTCGGAAGCAGATGCTCCCTGTTTCCTTTCACGTCCATCCAGGATGGATACATGTTTCATCCTTGGCCCAAAGGAAACCATCTGCACTAAACCCAGGATGCAGCCCCAGTACCACCGTCCCCAAGAGCACCAGGATCCTAACTCTTGGCACATGCATCCCCACACATGCAGGGACCCCAGCCCCAAACCCATTTGGCCTGGACACAGCTCTACCTCTCCAGGTCATCCATGGAGCTGCTGCAGCTCAGTGCGAGTCCCGAGGGATGCTCCCAGCTCGGTGCTGTCACCCCTTTGCCCTACCGCAAGCCAGGCAGAGGAGAGGGAGCACAGCACGAACGGTTATCACCATGTGAACCTGGTTATTGCTGGGTTATTGTGGCATGACCTTGACAAGTGATCGCCCTCACACGCTATGCGGTTGTCAAACCCAGGGCCATGGGCGATGCAGGTGGCCGAGCTCAGGCACAGCTCCCTGGGCAGGGTGGCCCCGATCACCGCGGTCCGGTGGGGACAGCTGCGGGGGGGACCAGGGGGATGCTCTCTGCACAGCCGCAGGTCGTTTGGCACAGATGTGATCCTGCCAAAGCACGACGCATATTGCGGGGAGCCGCCAAGAGGGCAGGGGACGGGGTTGTGCAAGTCCCTGGGGCACCTTCCCCAAAACAAGGAAGGGGAAGCTCCCCAAAATACACCCTCAGCTACCGCGTGGGCACCTACGTGCCCCCCCCAGCACCCAAGGGACTGGTGGCTCCTGCAGGTGCTGGGGGGTACTTTGGGGTGCAGGTGGTAGAGGAGGATATTGGGGGGGAAGGGTGCGCGGCACCAGCTCACCCTGAGACAAGGCACCCTGCGTACTCTGGGGGCACCCCCCATCCCCCGCATCTCGGGCACCCGGCGGGGGGG